TCTTTCTAATCCAGTCATCTACTTTTGGGCATTTGGGCTGCTTCCATGTTTTTCCAATTGTAAATAAAGCAGCAATAACCCATGTCCCATTTTTAAGGGAGGTGGTGCCCAGCAATCTCCAGGGTTCCTTCTAGTCCCATGTTTCCGTGAATCTAAATGGACTCAACACTGTGTGTCTCCAGGGCCAGGCCTAGAATCAGCGGAGGGGAAGATGCCCACTGTTGGGACAGTGCGAAGAGAGGTAGGTGGCAGTAGTGCCTGGTGACATGCTCACTGTTGCCCCAAAGGAGGAATGCCCACCCCAGGCAGCTGTGGGGCAGGCGGGTGATGGAAAAGGTTTTGGTGGAAGGAGGTGGCTGCAGTCTCATCAGACCGGTAAAATGGGGAGGGAAGGAGAGAGGGTGTGCCAGGCAGAGGGCACAGCTGGTGCAAGGGCACAGAGGCCTGGCGTGTGTGTGTTTGCTCTGGCTGGTGTGGATAGGGGTGGGAGGTGGTGGGAGGACAAAGGGGAGAGAAAAGGCTTGAAGAACTGGGGGCTACAAACCCAGGGACCAGAGGTGGGTATAGGATGCGTCCATGCCCACTATTTGTCCATCACCCTCAGAATCATGGCCAGCCCAGTAAAGGCTCTGCATGCAGAAGGGAGTAGACAGATTAGGAGGGTGGACCATACAGCTTAACCCCTTTCTCCTAAAAGAAAACTGGGTTTATCTATGGCATTCTCCAGTAATAATAATTTAGTATCGATGACCAGAGAAGTGTTAGAGTATACTTCACTGTGTGGTAATCCAGTTAGTGGTTATCCAACACTTTTATCAAGATCCCAAAAAGATGAGGTAGAAGAGAGGCCATTCCCACAAACCGGGAGTAAATCAGTGGGGAGACATTATACCCCAGGCTGGGAGGCCCTCAAGGAGACCCAGGACCTCCGTGGGTCAAGTTTGAGCATCTAAGAAGCTTTAGGATTAGCACAGAGCACAGAGGGGAGAAGAGAAGCTAAGCCCTGGGGTCTCTGGGTGTTGAAGTGCAGAGGACGGTGACCGAGTCTTAGTCATCTTGGGCTCCCCTGAGTCCGTCTTGCCTAGCAGCATGCCTGGCACAGAGATGCCAGGGAGTGAAGGCCGGGTAGGACTAGGGAAACAGAAAATAGAAGGAAGTGAGGCAGAGAGGTGGACCATGGGAGCCTGTCAAGAAATGCAGGAGGAGAGCTCACAGGTCCCCAACCACCCATCCCCAGCCCACACCCTGGGCCTCAGCCCCAACCCAGGCCACGCCCCAATACTGGGTCCCTGTCCCTGGCCAGGGCCCTTGCCTCTATGAGCTCCTCCTTGGATGTGTACTCTGAAACCACCACGCTCTCTCCATCTGTGAACCGAGTGAGGGTCACGTGGAGCTTCCCATTAGCGGCCTTGTAGGAGTCTTCAGGCAGAACCTGGTACAGAAACCGCCTCATCATCTGCACCATCTTGCAGGACGGGGACAAGGGTCCCAGGAAGGACTTCTTCACCTCGGCCACCCCCACATTGAGGACTCTGAGATACTCATCTGTGGAGGAAGCAGAGAGGAGCAGGTGGTCAGTGGCACACCCGTGGCCTGAGGCCAAGAGAGGTCAAGAGTGGTGGTTTCATCCTGTGTCCAACAAATAGGAACCTAGAGCTGTGAGGCAGGGAAGGTCCCAGGATTTCAGCTGTCATTTTGCACAAAAGGAAAGCAAGGCACAGAAGAATGAAGTCACTTGTTCCAGAGACCAGCTGTGGCACTAGTCAAAGGCACAACCAGACCAGGGGTGGCCTCCTCCCCGGTGATGGCTTTTCCCTACTTCCTGTCAGCCATGAGGCCTATAAGTCCACCACCAGGCTATGTTCTCTTGGGATTTTAGAGACTTTTTGTCCTAAATGAGGTCACCAACAGGCCTGAAAGCCCTCAGCAAGTGACACCCTGAGACACTTTTAGGTGGGGGCGGGGGAGAGAGGAGGGATGTTGGCCACGAGCAGGTGGATTTCCAGGAGAGGTGAACTTTGTCGTGAAACCATTACATCATCTTCCCTTTATGGCCTCTGATACAAGCGAGGGAGGGAGAAGCTTCTGAAACACAGGACATATGAGCTGGACTGGACTGCAGGTTGATGGGGGGTGGGGGTGGGGAACCTTCTCCCTCCTTTGGAGAGGAACCAGGGCTCCCATGGAGGGCAGAGGTGTTGCTCAAGGGGATGTATACCCACTCCCCCTCTCTTCTGCCAATCCCCTCTCTTCTGCCAATCCTACCAGGGAAGTCTGGGTCATAAACTTAATAAGGAGTGCCAACATGCTTGATTCTCACAACATACTGTGAGGTAGGTGTTTCTGTCCTCATTTTACTAATCAGGAAACTGAGGCTCAGAGAGAGAACATAATTTGCTCAAGGTCAACCATCTAGTAAGCAGAACAGGTGAGCTTTTAACCTGGAGTGTGTGACCCTAAAACTCACGCTCCTTCGGCTACCCTAACTTGCAAGTTTCCAAAGCCTGTTGACTGCTGCTCTCTACTACTGCTGCTACTCTCTACCCTGGGCACATACTCTGAGAAAGCCAGGAGGCAGAACTAGCTCTGAGAAGAACTATATTTTTTTAAAAACAAAGATTTAATTGTGGCCCTCCCTGATGGTACAAGGGGTTAGGACACAGGACTGCAGGCTAGCCAGAGCCGCTTCAGTGTGAGTTCGACCCCTGGTCCTGGAAGTATCCCCCATGGCGCAGCAGACCTCTCCTGTCCCCCCCCCCACTGCTCCCCTCAGCAGTGTACTTCATTGATCTGCCTGTTCTGCTCCCCACTCTATCTCTAGTGAATCCTCTCGCTGTCCCTGCACTTCTAGCCTATACCCTAGTTCTGTATGCACACATAAATAAATCTAAAAGAAAAAACAAATAGAAATTATCATATGAAAATTTTAATTGTAAAACATCCTGTATGGAAGAACTTTCTGGAAGCTAGTTACCATGTAGCAATGGCTCCCTGGACAAGGTGTCTCACAGCTCTGCTCTGGAGGTAACCAAGCAGAAGTGGGACAAGTAGCCCAGAAAAGTTTTCCAAGAGATTCTGCTTTGGGGCTTAAATGCTAAGATTCCATCCAAACTTGAGGTTCTGGAATTCTCTGGGGCACCTCACATCTGGAAAGTTATCCCCATGGACTTTCCTATTTATAAAAAGAACAGCTGAGACACGGAGGGGTTTAGATTATTTGCCCAAAGTCACACACAATAAAGCTCATTTTTTACAGTTCACACATTATTCCTAGTCAGTCTCGAAAGTAGGTGGGATGTAGGAACTTCACAGATGTAGAAACCGAGACAGAGAAAAAGCTAAGCGTCTGGCCTGAGATCAGACACGCAGGCGGCGCTTGTTCTGACTCTAAACCTCACCTGCTTTCTCTGGGTGTTGTGATCCCAGAGACTGAGTGAGCCTGAGTTGCCATGGTAACAACCTTTTCTCCCAACACTCAGAACACAGCTGCACGTGTGCATTAGGGAGCCACAGAGCATCCTTGTTATCTCCCCTGACAGGAGAGGGTGATGGGGAGGAGGCAGGGAGCCTTTGTGGTTTTTGAGAGGTTAGCTTAACCTTGGGCCAGCTCGCATAAATAGTGCTTCCCTGGCAAGGGAGGACAGGGCTGACCCACCAGCAGGTTATGAAGAAACTGAGAATGTGTATGCTAAGGTGATGGGTCACTGAGGTCTCACATACAAAGACACTTAGAATAGGCCCGCGGACACGATGTTTTTGGAGTTCCTAATGAGCAGAGGGTCAGTGACCTTTCCCACAATTTCTCGGAGCCAGGAGCACCTGTATCAATATACCCTATCCTCTTCCTGGACCCCCAATGGGGGGTGCTCACTGGACCAAGGAGGGAGATTTGTTCATACCCCATGAGAAGTACTTGCTCCTGTGGAAAAAATAAATTTTAAAAATGCAGATAAGCAAAAAAGAAAAACTTCAATCTCTTGGATAGAATATATGACATATTACTATATACACCATTTTTGTGACTTGTCTTTTCACCTTATATACTGTGCCTTGCCACATCAATAAATATCTATTGATGACCTAATGAAAAGCAGCACGGAATGCCGTTGTATACCACATTTATTGAACAGGGGTGGCTTTTAGTTTGTTTCCTTGACTTTTTAAATAATGCTGCAATGAAAAACCTCGGATTATATCCATTGCCTGTGTCCTTAATTATTTTCCTTAGGGTAAATTCCTAGAGGGGAAGTCTAGGTCAATAAAAGGCCTGTCCTTTTAAAATTGCAGTGCTCCAGGGCCTTCCCTGGTGTCCAAGCAGGTTAAAGCACAGCACTAAGAAACTTGAGCCACTTCAGCATGAGTTCGATCCCTGCTTGCCCCGGAGGAGATCCACATGGTGCGGCAGACCCCTCCTGACCCACCCGCTGCTCCCCTCAGCAGTGTACTTCCTCGATCTGCCTGTTCTGCTCCCTACTCTGTCTCTGGTGAATCCTCTCACCCTCCGCATCTCTGGCTTGTACCCCAGTTCTGTATGAATAAAAAAAAATGTTAAAAATAAAATAAAATTGCAGTGCTCCAAGGAACTGTGGTGATGGTGTACAGGTGAATGGGTGGTAGGAATTTTACAGGGGCTACATCTGAGAGGTGAAAGCACACATTGTCTAAAAATGAAGGATGACCTAAACTAAAAACAAACAAGTAAATAAATAAATAAATATGTAAAAATAAAATCGCAGTGTTCATTGTAATCATGGCTTTTGTGTATGACTCTTTTACAGTCAACACCCACCTATTGGGGGAGGTGCCCTCAATAATAGTATAGATGCTGGCAATGTACTTACATCATCAAATAGCATTATCTGGAAATTAGCAATGCTTTAGCCAGAATCATGTAGCCAGGGAGGGAGGAGACAGGAGATGGTCTGACTGTTCAGATGCCCAATATGAAATTCTTCCCTCAGCTCACTGGGGCCATATACCAAAGGAGTCCTGCCTCTCATTTCTCCTGTCCAGTCTCTGTCTTCAGAGTCTCTGACTATCTTTGCTGCCTTTCTGCCTTCTCCTTTTCTCTTCCCATTTAAGGGAGAAGCAACCAATCTAGTTTAAAAGCCCCCATTTGTAGAAAGTCCAGTGTTAAGGATAGCAATTGCTAGATGCTGGGAGGAGAGATAAATTTAGCTTGCTTCTTCAGGCATCTCTGTACTTTCTAGCACTTTCTCCCATTTCAAGCTCTCCTTCCAGGGTGTAGGCTGTTGTGCCTCAGGACACAGTGTCCCACACTGACCACAGCAGATGGATTTAAAAGCAACACCACTGGCACATGCACCATCAGGGTACTTGGGGTTGGGTATCCACCCCCAGCCCACACGAGGCATGTTCGTTTCTACTCCTTCCTGCCTCTCTTCACACCTGTATTAGCTAAGCATGGATTTGGCTCCCGAGCCAAGTTGGAGGTTGCTCTGTCCTCCTCCCCATCTCAAGTCTATCACTGTGCTTTGCCCATGGAAGGTCATTCAGAGAACTTGGCTGTGGGCCAGGAGCCCTCTAGGCTAGGGATGGGTTCTGCTTACATATACCCACCAAGCCTCCCACACTTGGTGGGTGCTCAGTGTTTGTTCAGTGGATGAACAAAGGAAAATAAAAACCTGACTGGGAGGAAAAGCAAGAGACGGAGTTGCTCAAAGGAAAGAACTACTGAACTTCATTGCCCAATAAAAGCTTAAAGGCAAGATCATGCCACACAGAAAAATAACTGAGTTAAGCTACAGTGAACACTCTGTGTCCCAGGTCACACATCTATGGATTCAATCAACCTCAAAAATCAAAATGAGAGCCATGGTAGTTGCATCTCTATTGAACATGTGCAAACTCTTGTCATTATTTCCTTAACAGTACTGCATCATAGTCATGTAGCATTTCCATTCCTTTAAATATTACAAGTAATCTGGAGATGATTTAACATGTATGGGAGGCTGTGCAAATATGTAAGTACTACACCATTTTTTGTGGGGACTTAAGGACTCTTGTACTTTCATATCAACAGATGACTAGATATAACAGTGTGGTCAATTCACTTGTCTCATCTACAAGAACTTCAGTAGAAAAATATATTAATAAGATTTTGAGACTGAGAGACTTGGAAGTCATTCCAAGTCTCAGCCACTCAAGAGCGTCTTGGGCTCTTTCTGTGATCAGGTCCTTTTCTAGAAGGAGTTCAGGCTTTGGAATCAAAGAAATTTGATTCAGATCTCAGTTTTACCACATACTGTCTGGATCATCAGTGGGAAGTCCATCTTTGAGTCCCGATTTTGTCACTATAAAATGGGTATTATAATTCTGAGCTGGATATTGTAAGGCACACAGGTATAAAGTGCCTGCCACAGTTAGTGTTGGGTATTGATGTTAATGATTCTCCCATGGAACTATAGGATGTTTCAGGCTCTCGGCTTTGTCATTTGAACATGGGACAATAACCCCCACCTCATGCTTTATTGTTTAAATTTGTGATTTTATTTATTTATATTTATTTATTTGTCTTTATTGGG